TCACACGTTCCCGATTTTGTCCTCCAGGGACGTGTGGCCAGGTCTGGAGGCATCATTGGTCATCCGGACTGAGGGGTGGGATGGGCGGGGGCGTGTATTGGCATTTAGTGGAGAGGTCGGGGCCAGGGGTGCTGCTACACGTACTGCAATGCACAGGACAGACCCCTACCCCCCCAAAAAAAAAATTATCCCGCTCAAAATGCCCATAATGTTCAAGTTGAGAAACCCTGCTTTATCTGATTTTGTTTCAAAGAAAATGATTCTCAGATGTCTCTTGAGAGCCATCTTGGGGGGAGGGGCGGTGGGCAAGGGAGAAGAGCAGAAAGTCCTACTGAGCAGTTTAGGCTTTACTAACACCTGTCAAGCTCACTGCAACCGTGTATTTTAGTATTTTCTCCATTTGTACAAATGAAGAAGTAGGCTCTGTAAACAAGCCACTTGGGGTTGTAATGTGACAGGTCTAGAATGAACCTGAGACAGTCTGGCCCTAAAGCCTATGAGCTCTCTATTACTTGTGATCTAGGTACTAAAAATTCATCTGGAGTGTAATAGAATGAGCCTCAAAAACCCGGGTTCCTAGTCTTTATTAAGCCCTTACCATGCCACGGACAGAGACCTAGGATCTCATACGAGACCCTGTCTAGCCTAACCCTCTGTTGCTAAAGCGGCGTACCAAAGAAGTACTGGATTGGGCTTCCCTGATGGCGCAGTGGTTGAGAGTCCGCCTGCCGATGCAGGGGACATGGGTTCATGCCCCGGTCCAGGAAGATCCCACATGCCGCGGAGCAGCTGAGCCCATGAGCCACGGCCGCTGAGCCTGTGTGTCCGGAGCCTGTGCTCCGCAACGGGAGAGACCACAAGAGTGAGAGGCCCGCATACCACAAAAAAAAAAAGAAGTACTGGATTGTTCGAGGCGAGCAGAAACGAATTGAGAAGAAAAAATGAATCTGTATGAAGCTACTAAATAATAGCACAACCTATTGTAGCACAGTGTATTGAATTGAAATAATAGCACACATATGCAACAAGAGTTGAATTACTTGGCATCAGTAGTGAGTGCGATGGGAGTTGAGAAGGGGCCCCTCTCACGTGTGTTGGTGTAGACAGGACCGCTTCATAAAGGAAGTCGGAACTGCGCTTTCAGAGAGCATAGGCTTTGAAGACAGAGTTAAATTCAGGAGGTTAAGGCAACATGCTATTGTGGGGAGCATGAGGTGCTCAGACATCAGAGTCTCTAGGTTGAACTCCTTCCTCTAGCACTTAATAAGTGGTGTGGCCTTGGGCAAAGCATTAAACCTTTTGGTGTTTGTTTTTTTTCATGTGTAGAATCCAGTTACTACATTTGGGTTGTTATGAGAATTAAATAAGATAATGCATGGAAAGTCTCAGCCTAGCGCTCGCCCCATGGTAAATGCTCACTGACTGTTAGCTTAAAAAAAAAGTCAGGGTGTGTGTGTGTGTGTTTGTGTGTGCATGTGTGAGCACACAATGTCAGCAGGGGTTCTTATTTGGAAGCAACAGAAATCTAGTTAACTTAAGTAGGAAATAATTTTGCTGGAAGGCTACAGGTAGCTCCAAGAATTGACAGAAGACAGGAAACCTGGATCAAGAAGCCAAGGGCAGCTGGGTCACTGAAATTACAGCCCAAATCACGTGGTGACAGGCATGGTCCTGTCTCCCACCAACACTCACACGAGGAGGAGTTCCCCCAAGGAGGAAGGGGACGAAGAATTTGGGTAGCTTCTCAATTATGAAATATCTACTAATGTGGGTGTTATGTCTGGGGGGGAGTCAGAATGGATTTTAAGGATTCAATGGTGAGGGATAACAAGAGGAAAGCCTCTAATATTGAATGGACACAGGGTCGGAGGTGCAATGGAAACTTCCGACGGTGCCTATAAGAGCAAGTAAAATGAAGGGAGTGAGTGGAAGGGAAAGCGGCTTCACCAGCAGGCAGAGGAGAATGAGCTCTAACCTCTGACGGACCAGGAGGCACAGCTCAGAGGGACCCGCCACAAACTCAAAACTTCTTTTAAGTGTCCTGTTTAGAATTTAAAGTTGCTGTGAATTTAATATTCTTGGTCCTAATAGGTTCGTTTTACTATATAATATGATTTAGATGCCATACTAGTTAAAACTTTTTAATATTTTTCCCTCAAATCTTCCAGTAAAATGGGTATTACAGGAAAATATATTTTATCCATGTGACTTCACACATCCCTACCCAAACTGGCCTTGTACTCTCCAGGGGGATATGCATGGTTTCAAACATTCATTCATCAAACCTTGATTAAGCCCCTCCTATGAGCCAGATGCTAGGTATGCGAAGTGAGTAGTAACCAGTAAGGCCCCTTCCCACGTGGAGTGATGGTCTAGGTCATACTCCAATCTAAGAAGCGTGAATTCTAGACGGTTGTGAACAAATACAGATGGAGAAATATGGATGGGGCAGACCATGGAGTTGATCTCAGTTCAAGAAACACTGGGCCCTAAAGAGAAAAAAGAGTTTACAACAAGTAGGAGAGGTAGACAGGAAGAGGAGAAAATTAGACTCAGAAAGTGGGCAGAAAATATATAAAGACTTTCAATATGAATGATGTAATTCCTCATAGAAATACATATAAGAAAGATAGACAGCACAAATGAGGCAGAAATGAATGTTGCAGAGGAGGGGACATTGGCCTGAAGAGGGTTTTAAAAGATGACTACAAGCTGACCAGGCAGGCAAGGAGGGAAGGGCCTTCCAGGCAGGGAAGACACAGCCTTGTGACACAGTATGGGGTGTTGGGGAGTTTTAAGTGTAAGAGAGCGAGTGGAGGAGACTGGAGAGATGATCAGGGGCCAGACAGTTGTCCCTTTGTCTGTCTGTCACATAAGTGCTGGGACTTTATCTGAAAGCAGTGAAGAGTCACCAAAAATGTTGTAACATTTCTCAGGAATGAAAGGATCAAATTTGTTTTCAAGAAACATAACTATGGAAGCATTGTGTGGGTCTAAAGGAGACAAAACCATGGACTGGTTTGAGACTAGTGAGATAGTCTAGGCAATAGATAGTAAGAACCTGAAATGGGAAAACCACTGTTATGTACAAACTGGGAAGGAGAGGAGGGAATAAATCCAGTAGTGATGAAGAAGATGATAATTATAGCAATAAAAAATTCCAGTTAAGATTAATAAAACTGGGATTCCCTGGTGGCGCAGTGGTTGAGAGCCCGCCTGCCAATGCAGGGGACACGGGTTCGTGTCCCGGTCTGGGAAGATCCCATATGCCGCGGAGCGGCTGGGCCCGTGAGCCATAGCCGCTGAGCCTGCGCGTCCAGAGCCTGTGCTCCACAACGAGAGAGGCCACAACAGTGAGAGGCCCGCATACTGCAAAAAAAAAAATAAATAAATAAAGATTAATAAAACCATTACTATATGCTAGGCACTGTTCTATGGCCATTAAGTGAATTATTTCATTTTATGAATTCACTCAATAAATATTTATTGAGCACCTACTATATGCCAGATACAGAACCAGGCAATAGGATACAGCAGTGAATAAACTCAACAAAAAATCATTGCCTTCATAGGGCTTACATTCTCCTGGGGGAGACAGACAATAAACAAACAATAAATACAATTTAGTAGCATGTTAGATAGTGCTAAGAGCTAAGGAGAAAAAACTGATGCAGGAAAGGAGAAATAAAGTATTGTGGAGGGTGTAAAGATTTTAGAGAGCAGAGCCACGCAAGGCCTCGATATAAGGTGAGATGTGAATAGAAGATGTGAAGAAATGAGGGAACCAGCCACAGAGATATCTGGGGGAAGGGCGCTGCAGGCAGAGTGTGTGACACAGAGGCCGGAGCATCCCTGGTAAGTTCCAGTAACAGCAGGAAGGTCATTTGGTCTTAGCTAATGAGAGGAAGAGGAACTGGAGACATCCTAGGAGCAGTGATGGGGTCGTGATCTTGTTGGACCTTGAAAGTCACAATAAGGGCTTTGGCTTTTACTCTGAGTGATTCGGGAACTGGAGCACCTGGAGCAGAAGAGTGACGTGATGGGACTTGAATCTTAACAGGGTCACTCCTGGCGGATTTTTGAGAATGGATTGCAGAGACCAGGGCAGACTCGGAGAAACCGATATGGTACCGTCATCCAGGAGAGAAATGGTGGTGGCTCAGAACAAAATGGTCACAACAGGGATGTTGAAAAGTGATCCGTCTCTGATTAGAATTTGAAGGTTGAGTCAATAAAATTTGCTGATGGATCAGATATTGTGTGTGTGTGTGTGTGTGTGTGTGTGTGTGTGTGTGTGTGGCCGAGCAGATGGAAAAAATCGAATGACGCTTACGGGGTGGACTGCAGGGTGGTGGATTTAGCGGCTCAGCTTGGGACCTGACAAATTAGCGATGTCAAGTTAACAGCTGGATATATTGGTCTGGGCTTCAGGGGAGCGGTCTGTGCTGGAGATAAAAATGCTAGAATGATCAGCATATAGGTGACATTTAAAGCTAGGTGAGATCAACGAGGGAGTGAATAACTAGTAAAAAGGAGAGGTCCAAGGAGTAAGTCGCCACGCATTCTGACGGTCAGAGGTTGAGGAGTTGAGGAAGAAGAAGTTATTATAGGAGATGTAGACGGAGCAGTCAGAAGGGTGGGGGGAAAACCAGTAAGTATGCTGTCCTGGAAGCCAAGTGAAGAAAGCGTTTCAAGGAGGAAGGTGTCGGAAACATCATCTGTGTGTAACTTGAGACTGTGAAGACTTAAGCCAGGGGTAACACTGGAAGGAAGGTGAGACAGCTATTAAAATAAACAAAAAGTGATACGAATGACTGGAGACTAGGTGTTCCGGTCTGAGGACAAAATCATCAGAGTTGACGCGACAAGGAAGAGCCCCACCCCACCTCCAAGCTCTGTGAGTGGGGATCCGGCCCCCAGCAGAGGGCGCAGGGGAGGGAGTGTCCCTGAGGGACAGAGCCAAGTTTCAGTTTGGGAGGACAAGAGACTGCTCAGGAGAGGGAAGGGAAGGAGGATTTATGCTGATGACTGACCCGAGTTCCAGAGGGCAGGTGAAAGGGTTTCAGAGATGGGGAGAGGGGCCCAATGAGGTCAGAAAATAACGTGGTGGTTAGACTCCCAGGGACGAAAGATGACCCGTGAATGCTGAGTCTTGTGGGGATGGGCATCGGTGCGGATAAGGGACACGAGGGGTTAGTCTTGATGGTCACAAGGCAGGTAGCAAGGGATCTGGGGGACTTGATAGGAGTTGGACAGGTTCGGGGGCTGCCCCCTGATGGCTGTTGGGAGAGGTGTGGGGTCTGGCACAGGGGTGGTCTACCCTGAGCTGGTCCCTCTCTAGGGCCCTATTTAATCCACACAACACTGTGAAGTGAGTACTGTTATTATTCCAATTTTACAAAAGAAGATATATTCAAAAAGCAAGGAGGATGAAAAGCAACAGGACTTGGTGAACAAAGGCCTTAAATTGCAGGTTGAATCTGGTCTTAATCACCAGAAGGGAGTTGAGAAGGGAGGCTACTTGGGTGTGAAAGTGGAGGGCAGAATAGACTGGGAAGTTGATTCCTGTTTAACAGGTTTTGAGTTGAAGGTGCAGGCAGAGGGAATTGGAAATGAGTTGAAGATGACTGGAAACATAGAAGCAGGCTTGACTGATGTGTCAGAGCAGGCGAGGTTGATCTGGAAGTCAGCAGTCCAAGCCAGAGCACACCTTTCCATCCCAGATCTTCCCTGGGTAGGGGTCTTACGACCACAGGGGAAACATTTGTTTTCTAGGGGCGAGAAACAGGAGGAGATCAGAAGTGGATTTCGATTTAGGAACTTGATAAAATCCCAGCTGTTGCCCTCAAACTACCCTTGGTAGTTTGCTCTCAACTTCTTGCCCTCAACTTCTCATGCCAGCTTCTCACTTGGCGTGATCTGAAGGATCTTCTCTCAATTTTATTGCTGGTGTAAAGCCGATGCTTTTGAAATATTGCTTGAACAGTGACCTCTAGTGTTATAAAGAGATCTCTGCTAACCGATGAGGCAGTCTAAAAGTGAAAATTCCCTTAAGAGTCATTGCATAGATTCATATTGCCAGGATGTACCTTAATAAATTATTCAGTCCATCTCTCTCCCTTTAGGGAGGACATCACTTGAACAATTCCAGGTCACTTCCCTTCAAGGCAGATGTAATGGAGCTTGAGAAAGTTCAGAGAATGGCAACTAGAGTAAACAAGGAGAGAAATGTACTTTTCTGTGAGAATGGATTTTTTTTTAGAGATGAAGAAGAATATACTACAGACTAGAAAGTTGACACGTATGAAACACTGAACTAACAGAACAGATCTCCAAGTGTGAGATCTCTTTGAAACCATGAAGAGAGGACTTTAGTATAATACTGGCTACCACTTTTGAGTATTTGCTCTGTGCCAGGTATGCTTTCAACCACCCTTGAGGTAAGAACCATTATGATCTCCATTTTACAGGTAAGAAAACCAAGGTATAGAAAAATTGATTGCTATTGTAATGAACCAAGGTGACACAGCTGAAAGGGGGCAAAATCAGGATTGGAACCTAACCTGTAGACACAACAACCCTGGAATAAACAAGAACGCTAATTTAGATATAGGATGCACATGAATCAGTAAATTAGCAAAGGATAAAAATGTAAATTTGGGCTTCTCTGGTGGAGCAGTGGTTGAGAGTCCGCCTGCCAATGCAGGGGACAAGAGTTCGTTCCCCGGTCCGGGAGGATCCCACTTGCCGCGGAGCGGCTGGGCCCGTGAGCCATGGCCGCTGAGCCTGCGCGTCCGGAGCCTGTGCTCCGCAACGGGAGAGGCCGCAACAGTGAGAGGCCCGCGTACCGCAAAAAAAAAAAAAAATGTAAATTTGTTCAAGAAAAGTGTGGTTGTGGACATGGCAGTTTGGGAACGACTAGGATATTCTAAGCATGGGTGGTTCTCTTCCATTTCTCACCCAGCGCTCCTCAGTCCTAGCAAACCGTGGATCTGTGGCCCTTCAGAGAAGAAACCCCATGCAGACTGAGCCATGCATTTCAATTTTTTAAAACCCTCATTAGCAGAAAAATTCTTCGTGTCTGGTCTAAATCCCTCCTGTTGATGCCCATTTTCTTTTATTCTTTTTTTTTTTTAAAAGAATCAATTTATTTATTTAGTTTTGGCTGCGTTGGGTCTTCATTGCTGCACACATGCTTTCTCTAGTTGCGGCAAGCGGGGGCTACTCTTCATTGCAGTGTGTGGACTTCTCATTGCGGTGACCTCTCCTGTTGCAGAGCACGGGCTCCAGGCACACAGGCTTCAGTTGTGGCACACAGGCCCAGTAGTTGTGGCTCACGGGCTTAGTTGCTCCGTGGTATGTGGGAATCTTCCTGGACCAGGGCTCAAACCCATGTCCCCTGCATTGGCAAGCGGATTCTTAACCACTGTGCCACCAGGGAAGTCCTCATTTTCTTTTATTCTGTCATCAGTGAAGATGGAAAACAGGTGGACAGAATCCTCGCTGTTTTTCTGTATCTGAATACCATCCGTAAGTCCCTCTTCAGTCTTCTGGTCTACCCGCCTTCAAGCTATACCATCATCCCCCATCCTTTCCAGTATCTCCATAGGTCTTTTGTCTACCTTAAGGCTTTAATGCATCTTATGGGAACATTTTCAACCCTAAAAAGAAGTTTGTGCTTACAAAATAAATCATAAAAATGTCTTCCTTCATAATATTTACACAATGTTTCTCATTTTCAAAGGACTTCCATATACCTTATCTTGCTTGATTCCCATGTGCTTGTCCCTGTTTAACAGAAGAGAAAATGAGGCTCTGGGAAGTGAAATGATTTGCCTAAGGTCCCATAGGGAGTAGTAGAAAAATAATGAAGTTGATAAGAAAAGAGGCTGCATGGTATTTTATGACAGATTTTTTTAGAAGGCATGTAAGGGTTAGAAAATAATCCTTTTTATCTTTTCTGTTTGTTTTGGTAGCTATCAGCATCTGATGATAGAAATATCTAGCAAACAAAACAAAAGTACAGCTTCCCTTTTCAGTCATCCTTGGGGGTTTCATTTTCATAATTAGAGCCCAGAACCTCTCCTTCAATTTATGGGACTTAGGTAACTGCCAACTCAGTGCTACCTAATTATTGGGCTAGGCACTGTTCCAACCACCCGCCACGTACCAACTCATGTAATCTTCACAACAACCTTGTGTGGTGGGGACTATTTTCACCTCTCATTTTACAGATGAGGAAAGAAGCACAGACAGGGTAAATAATTTGCTCAAGATTTTGCAGGTAGTCCTGGCCAATATAAAGGTAAAGTTAAAGTAAAATCCGCCTAAATCCTGCTGTCAAACAGTAAGCATCCGTCACAGACTATGACCCATTATAATGCTGTGTAGGCCGACGAATATGCTTCCTTTGACACATGAGGAATTTGGGTTTTAGTGAGATTAAGTCACTTAGTGTTGGTCACACAGTGAGGCAGGGCTGGTACCCGCTGGCACCCTCCAACGGTCATACCAGTTGTTAAAACGGTAAATTTTTCTGTACGGGTTGACCGTGCTGTTGCCTCAGGCTCCCCAAGAATCCCCATCACCCCTGCTGCCCAGGCTTCTCCCCTACGAGCCCTCCAGATCTCCCTACAGCCCGGCGACTCCACGGGTCCCTGCTCCCATGATGCTTTCACCCGGCTCTGGCAGGCTCCCTTTGGGAACTGGCATCAGGGAGACAGGAGGGGGGTTTCAGGGAGAGGGGGTGTCCACAGGAGAGAGGGCAGCCCAGGACAGGAGGATCTGAGGGGTGTCTGCTGCATAGGTGGTTTCATTTCCCCTCTGCGTTATTACCTAACAGACAAAATAGGACTCAGGAACGGCAGAGGAGGTATTTCTCCTTTGTTTTCACATTTCCTGGAGAAACTCTAGGTGTCTGAGCAAGGAAACAAGCCTGTCTGTGCTGCTGGCGGACTTAGAGGAGAGAGGACCCCAGCATCTGGGGAGGGCCAGAGGGCTGGAAATGAAGACTAAGGGATCTCTCTCCTTCCTGATAGATGGATCCACGATGATACATACACGTGAAGCCCTCCTATACCGGGCCAGGCCCTTACCTGGGCCTCCGTAAGTACGTGTGTACTTTCTTAAATTACGATGTGAGTTGTTTAAAAAAGAGCCGTGAGTCTGCTTTCAGCCTTGCATTTAGTAGGGGATTACTGTAGCTCCAGAGCAGACAGGCGGCAGCCGGGAAGGGATTACCAAATAGGGAGACATTGTTTTGGTAAAAGAGAGAGTCTCTGAAATGGGCCAGTAGTTATAAATATCAGTGGGAAATGCCTGTATGCTGATGTCAGAAGATGAATAGTAAAAGCAAAAAAGTCTTAGAAAAGGCCTGTGAGCATAACTGATTCTTCCAAGTATAAATCCTCTCAGTTAGTTCCCAGTCTCCTCAGGCATTACATGGAAAAAGGAATAGCAGATGAGGCATCCATCTGTCTGTACAAGTACACTCTCAGAGCACAAGGAAGCAAACAGAAGCAAAAACAGGATAAATGGCACAGGGTGAGAAGTCAAGACAGAGGACCAAGAAATGGAGCCTGAAAACTGGCAAGGGTGTGTGAAGAAGTGTTCCTTAGTCAACAAAGAGATTCCACAAAGATTCACTTGTTGAGTTTAATAACCACATTCTTGCAAAGGGAATAGCAGAAAGAGAACTGAGTCATAAAAAGCAAAAGATGTTTGTATTACTTTCCTAGGGCCGCTAACTCGGTGACTTACAACAAAAATTTATTCTCTCACAGTTCCAGGGGCCGGAGTCCAAAATGGAGGTTGTGGGCAGGGTCATGCTCCGTCTGAAGGCTCCGAGAGACAAAACTTTTCTTGTGTCTTCCAACTTCTGGTGGCTCCTGGCATTCCGTGGCTTGTGGCAGCATCACCTCAATCTCTGCCTCTGTCTTGTGACCTCTCCTCTTTTCATTTTTATTATTTTAGGGGTGAATTTTTTTCTTCCAGTTTTGCTGAGATATAATTGACACTGTGTAAGTTACAGCACCCTGATTTGACTTACATGCATCGTGGAATGCTGACCACAATAAAGTCAGTGAACATGCATCATCTCGTACGGATACAAAATTAAGAAAAAGAAAAAAAAAACCTTTTTTCCTTGTGATAAGAACTCTTAAGGATTTATTCTTTTAACTTTCACATATAACATATAGCAGTGTTAGTTATATTTATCATGTTGCATTACATCCTTAGTATTTATTTACCTTATAACTGGAGGTTCACACCTTCTGACTGACTTCATCCAACTCTCCCTCCCCCTACTCCCCACCTCTGGTAAACACACATTTGATCTCTTTTTCTATGACTTTTTGTCTGTTTGTTTGTTGAGGTGTAATTGACCTACAGCACTGTGTCAGTTCCTGGCACAGTCTTTCCTCTTCTTATAAGAACACTGGTCACTGAATTCAGGGCCTGCCCTAAATCCAGCCTGATTTCATTTCAAGATCCTTAACTAATTACGTCTGCAAAGACCCTCTTTCCAAATAAGTCCACATTCTGAAGTTCTGGGTGGATATGAATTTTGGGGGGGGTCATTATTCGACCCACTACAATGTGTGACCTATTGCAGGAAATGGACAAAAGGGGGAGACTATGCATTTATAAGACAGGAAATTCTTTTACTCTTTGTGATTAACTTGTTATTCTTACTATAGCAAATTATCTCACGATTGTTGACAATTAAAAGCAAACTTGACCTTTACCTATATCGTGTAGGACAGTGGTTCCCAGATGCTGGATGATAGCACAGCTCTGGTCCAAGGGAAGTTTTCACAGGTCAAGGCATCTTTCCCTATAAACCCTGCAGGCCCTGAGTTGAGGCCCCGGGGCCTCCAGCTGCCCAGAATCACTGAGTAGGAGTTTCTTATAGGCACCTGGGTTCTTCAGGGCCCAGCAGAGAATGAGTGTGGCATCAGCGCCGTCAGTGAACTTGCTTCAGTTTGCACAGAATATTCCAAATTAAGGGAAATGCCATGAAGAGTGTCACTTCCGTTTTTGTTAACAAATCTATGAGAAACAAAGTTTAATAGTGAAAGATAAAGGCAAAATATGAGAATAAATTGAATATTTACGCTCTACTTCATGATATCTCATTGAATGTATAACCACAAGCTGATAAATGTGTATCAGACTAACAATTATGTAAATGTAACATTGTAAAACAAAATTTCATATTGCAATTCTTCTCAACTCAAACACTATGTGTATATTTGTAAAATTGTATTTCATCTGTGTTTGTTGTCAGGCTATACCAACTGACCTTTATGCTATGTCCTTTTTACTTTCTGTATGTCAAATTAGTATTTTTTTAATGAAATAATAGCAAAAATAGATTTCTACCTCACAAAATTTAAAGAGGGCAACTTTTTTTTTTTTTTTTTTTTGCGGTACGCGGGCCTCTCACTGTTGTGGCCTCTCCCGTCGTGGAGCACAGGCTCTGGACGCGCAGGCTCAGCGGCCAGGGCTCACGGGCCCAGCCGCTCCGCGGCATGTGGGATCTTCCTGGACCGGGACACGAACCCGTGTCCCCTGCATCGGCAGGCGGACTCTCAACCACTGCGCCACCAGGGAAGCCCGAAGTGCTCCTTTTTAAGAACTCAGCTTCTGAAGTGTAGATAAGCTTGAGAAAGACTGGAAGGGAATCCAAGCAGTGTTGTATTATTGGACTTGTAGGGGGCATACAAGTATCCTTGTCAGCTTCAGAAGGGTCAGTGAGTACACTGTTCACTGAAAAATTTCATACATTGCATGGAGATGAAATGGTATGGAGAATGAAATGAAATGTCACCCACAGTGAAATTAAATGTCTGGGGGAAGGAAAAGGAGGCTGACAAGGATGACATAGTTGACAGTCATGGGCAGACAGCGTTTAGCATAAGTTAATTTACCGGCCAGCTCAATCCAAAAGGATGCTTATATCTGCCTCACACTATGACTTATTAGACTCTAACATGATGGGAGGAGGGGGAGAAAATAAGGGCCATTTCCAAGGGCATAATGTATTTTATGTCTGAATTGCAGAAGCACAAGAGAGACCAAGAAGAAATTGTTTTTCATCTTTTTTAGACTCCTGCCATCCTCCTGTCTATGCCAGCTCCTTCTCTGGAATGCAAAGCCCAAGCAGTTTGAGGCATTAAGTTAAACTATGTATCTCCATGGAGGTGAATAAGAGATTTCACTGGGAATCAGCCAGAGATACGCACGTACCACGAGTTAGAATTTGAAAGCAAGTCAGCCATGTGACAGACATGTCTCTTAGAATATGACTTTGTACTGGAGATTGGTAAATAAACCTCTGGTTGTAATTCAAACTGGAGGTTCAAAGCTGGGATTTGAGCACAGGTGGGAGAAGTGCTCCTTTTAAAATGAATAAGACCTTGGTTTCTAAAAGCTTGAAATATTTGGAAAGACTAGATGACAACTTGATTTAGTGCTTTTCTAATTATCAATAGCTGACAAAAACAATTCCTAGTAAAGCATCTGAAAGTTTTGACTTTGCTCCCTAAGGGTACAGGGAAAGAAGCACAGAAGCAGTTACACAGACAAACACCAAAGAGGTAATGACAATAAAACACGATTAGGCGTGAGCCGCTCCCCTTGGAACACCTTGGACAGAGTAGGTGTTCAACTTCCTTTAGACGAGGCTGGGGTGAGGGTTTCCTTCTGAAGGAGGACTGAGGTCTTCTGCATTTGAAAGTGACTGGAGTGACGATCCGGGGACCCTGCCATCACTGTCAGTTGTTACGTGCTGGTCAATTACAGTAAAGGCCCAGGGAAAAGAAGAGCCAATGTCCTGGCCGGGATGACTATGCCCAGTCTGGGTGTGGCTCCCACCTCTGCAGCCCTTCTTCCTGCCTGATCTCAAGGTGCCAGGGGAGCGCTCAGGTGGGTGGGACAGGTGGGAGCTGCAACTAGAACACCGTGCCTACCGCTGGCTGTAATTTGATTTGCAAAGAGTCTATACTCTTTAAATTTTGGATTTAAATATAAAATGGAATCATATTATAAATGCACTTCAGAAGCTGATTGTGTAAAGGACCTCCATGGTGTACCTTCCCTCAAGTGCAAACTCTCTTACTGTAAAGCAAAACAGTACATATAGTAATATTTTAACCAATATAGCCTTTAAATCTGACTTTTAAATGGCAGGTTTTCTTTTCTTATGGTGAAATACTTTTATATTCTGAAATCTATTTCTGTAATCATTCTGTGTTCCAAAGCAATAGGTTAATAAGTCATTGAAATGTAAAACATATTCAGTAAATTTTTTTTAAGGTACAGAACAACAAAAAGTTGCCCTCTTGGGCTTTGCCCACTAGCCTATTAAAGACCTTCATGGGATAGATTATCCTTGATGGTGTGTGTCTGTAATGAAGGCTTAAGTCCAGTTTTGGGATTTGAGCACAGGTGGGAGAAGTGCTCCTTTTTAACTCTTTTTTTTTTTTTGCGGTACGCCGGCCTCTCACTGTTGTGGCCTGTAGGAATCAGAAATCAAGATATTTTCTAAGCACTTAAACAGTGCGACCTTGGATGTTGGCCTGGTCTCAGCGTCACATTAGGAGCACGTGATCCTCATGTGCTTTATGATAATAAGAGATTCCTAGCAGAGCAACTTTCTGGACGTCTCCTATAAATACACTGGGGACCTAAGTTCCCTGCACCTCTTCAGTCCAGATACAGAATCACTTTTTCACACAACTATTTACTGAGGTCCCACTATGTGCCAGGATTAGATATTGTTAAATGCTGAGAATGCAAGGCTGAAAAATATGTGTGTGGCTTAGTTCCTCACCAAGCTTACGGTCTGGCTGAGGAACTAGACAAGAAAACTATGAAGAAAAGAAGCTGGGAAGTATAGAACACTGTGGGAGCACACAGGAAAAAGTCCCTAACACAGGTCTTGGGAATCAGGAGGGCTTCCAAGAGGAAGCAATATTAAGCTGAGAATTGAAAGGTGAGTGGAAATTAGATAAGAGAATAGTGAGGGGACCAATCTCCTGTGGATTAAACACTGGCTAGGTTTATTATAGTAATCACTCACACACATGCACACACACCATTCTAGATTAACTTTAATGACCTCTTACTATTTCATGCTCTTCTGAAACCTGAGATGCAGTTTCTGGTTCTACTGCCCAGTCTCTACAGCTTGGGTTTGGCCAAGTCCTGGCTCAGGGTGGGTGTTCAATAAATGAATGAAATGAAATGACCACTATGAACCCAGCATCTGACTCATTGAAGATGCATTCTTTTTTTCCTGGGAAGATGAATCAACTGAATGGAGACAGAACGTTTTTGGAGAGGAAGTAGAATGAAATAGTAATTATAGATAACCCTTACATACTCCGTGCACCTGATACTATTCTACATGTTCACACATATTAATGCTTGTGCTCTTAGGACAGTTACTTAACCTCTCTCTGCCTTAATTTTCCCATCTGTAAAGTGGAAATAATAATAGCACTGACCTCATAGCCTTGTCGTGAGAGTTAAGTCGGTTAATCCATACATAATTCTTAGAACAATTCCTCATACATGGTAAGTCCTCAATACGTTTTAACTCTGATTAGGTTATGAAATCACCACCCCTCCACGTTTTACCAACGTGCTGTTCTGAGTTCAGTAAATAAGTGCTTTACAAGTTCTGAAAGGCCAATGTAGGCAGTAGGAGCATTTACCAGAGGACATAGGATTTAAGCTGGGCCTTCACTCAATTTGGGTGGGCAGAGTGGAGTGGGAAGGGCATTCCAGGAGGAGGGAGGGTGTAGGGGGGTGAGGTTACAGTCATCCTCTAACGTGCTTGGATTCCAGCTTGACCATTTACTTGTTTCCCCGTGTGTAAGATCAGGACAATATCTGCCTCACAGTGTTATTGCTATTTGGATGTTCTATGAAATAGCGAACATAAAATTCTTAGCACAGTGCCAAGCACATTGTAAGCATCCAATGTAGGTAGCTAGTGTTACTATCGTCATAGAATAGAAGGGCAGAAATAGAAGTTTGTGAGACTATGAGGAAACTAACCACTTCCATCTAGAACTGGCTCCCCTATTCTATCATTAACTTAGTGACGTTTTCACCTACATAAGACCTTATTAATAGCACAAACCTGGTTTAAGTGGAGCCTTAAGTTTTAATGGTTTGGAATTGGGGAATGGGGAGTGGGACCTGATTTTGAATAGACTACTTAGAATATCTTTCATTCTTAAACTGGTTAAGGTTAAAGTTACTGAGAAACTGAATCACTGGAAAGTAAACCAAATAGCAAGGTAGTGGGGAGGTGATTTGTTCTTTCTTCACACCCTTGCAAGCAGGCAGACTCGTGCTCCTTGTAAGTCACCTTGCTGCTGCTGGGGCAGGAAGAAGAAGTAACATGAGCCAGATGCCTTTCCAGCCACTCCTTCACATACTTGATATGAACTTCGAGCTCCCAGAATAATTTCCCTGACCTCAGCGGTCTTTTGGACTCGGGTTTTCCCTACTTGATCTTTCAGCCAACTCTACCCCAGATGTCCTACAGAAGCCCAAGCTTAGGCCCCTCTAACGTTTTCTTGCATATCTAGGGCAGGAATTGATTTAGTCAATTTTGGGTTTCCTGTGAAGATTCCGTGCACGTGTGGAACGCAAGGGCCTTTTCTCTCCAGAGCTTTATGTACTCAAGGGTGGCGCTGTGTAGATTTATCTGCAACATGTATGAAGCCCCAAGTGACTTCATGGACTTTTCTACAATCTACATTTGGAGATACTATAGATGTACACTCTTTCTTCCTTATATACAGCGCAGAAAATATCAAATGAAAAACCTCTGAATTCTTCCAACCTGGTTTTATTGTCCTGCACTTCACCTGTCCAGGCCTGGGACCCCCTGCAGGAAAGCTTCCTGAGCAGCTCATGCCAAGCTTTTCTCTATACTCTAGGAATTCCTTTACCACACTGATTTGAAACTTAGCATACGATGGCTTTTATTACCCCGTGTGTTTATTCTGTCTTCCCAACCAGATGGCAAAATCCAAGGTAGGGATGAGGTCTTTATCCCCTCTCACTACCTAACGCGATGCACTGGCAGAGAAAACTCTCGAAATAATATCTTACCCCTATGCGACAGTCCTCTTCCCATTTCAGAAATAGCTCAACTGATAGTGATCCTATGATTGAATCTTTATTTTCTTTGCTCTGAAAACAGAAAATACGTCATTCTGAAGAGGTTAGCTTGGGGTCTGTAGGGTTCACTTTTTAAACATTGTGTTTCAGATGCTTCACCAGATGATAATATCTCTGAATGTCAAAATGACCAAGTCCTGGTGGTGGAGATTCAGCTGGGGGCTAATTTCGGACTCTGTGTTCAGATTTTAGAGAGCCAAGCCCTCACACGGTTCCATTTATTAATTGGATTTGGCAAGGGGAGTTAATTCCTTGTGAAAGTACACAAGCAAGCTTTT